CATGACGCACTGGTGGGGGTGGGAGGTGCTGATCTTCTGCCCAGTCTCTAAAATATGTTGCACTTGGGCGTACTGAGGGACGTCCCACATCCCAACCGTGATGTCCCAGAGAGGTTTTCGGGACTAGACTTTGTTGACTATGGGAATGCAATTTCTGTCTTAAAATTCCTGAGGCACCAGTAGTTGATGCGTTTTGAGTTTACTACTGGCAGCAGTACACTTACAGGTATTATCACCTGGACACGTGGTTATAATTAGTATTCGAAACGTCGATCTGATTATGTCAGATTTACATTTTAAATCCTCAAACTCAAATAGGGCAAGGTTTCAAAATCGTCACTGAGTGAGATTCTTTAGCCGTGGCTGAAATCAAAATTTATTATGCCAGGTCAAATAATTGAGATGATACGGCCCGCAACTGTGGTGATATTTGAGTGAGATTTTCTAAACAGTCGCTTTAATCTAGAGCGGGAAGAATCCTCGCTCCGTGATTTCTAGTGGTGTCGCTTCCAACACTGGGCCCGGCTCGCTGTTTCGATTGCAGTTGTGGCCGCTCTCTCTCAACTAATCGTGTTTGTTCATTTGGACGGCATAACTCCCCTTCTCTTCCTGCCGGCTCGTACTGCCGGGCCGGCCCTCCGCGGGGACTTTTAAACTCGGTTAACGTCTCAGAGTGGGCACCTGCCCTTCTAGAGTTTCCAGGGGGGGTGTGTGTGTGTGTGTGTGCGTGCGTGCGTGCGGGTGTTTGTTTGTGTGAGTGGCCGAGTGTGAGCAGAGGCCGAAACTCACTGATTGGCGAATCTCGTACTCCAAAGAGGAGCATCCCCTGTTTCCGACTTGTGAGCGAACAGCATGGCCGGCTGCGAAATGCCTCTAGCGCATCTATACGTCGATTGCAGGAGCAGGCTTTTAGTGGTGGTGTTCTCTTCTTCTTCTTCTTCTTCTTCTTCTTCTTCTTCTTCTTCTTCTTCTTCTTCTTCTTCTTCTTCTTCTTCCGTGCCGTATCATAATGGTCACCACCACCGACTATTTTGGTTTGTTCGAGATTCGAGACGCCAACTTTGACCGTTTCTACACGTGTCGCTCTCGCTCTCGCTCGTTCGCTCTCTCTCTGTCTCTCTCTCTCTGTCTCTCTCTCTCTCTCTCTCTCTCTCTCTCTCTCTCTCGCTCTCCCTCTCTCCAACCTCTCGGCCCCATGATGAACACGGCGGCCGTTATGAAGCGCGCGCGGGAGTTTGGTGGCGGTGCGGTGCGCGCGCCTGCAGCGCCTGCAGCGGGGCGCGTCGGGGAGGCCATCAAGAAGAACACCAGAGCGCGCTTTGCTCGCAGCGGCGCTTGCGGAGGAGCGGGAGCTGCTAACCTCCGAATAGCCGCCACCAACCCTGTTGTAAAACGGAACGGCGGCTCCTCCCTGCGTCCGCCAGAGCGGAGCGTCCGCCAGAGCATCCTCGCCCCTGCCCCCCCCCCCTCTCCTCTACCCTACCGAGGTATTGAAGCAAATAGGGGTGAAAGAAGGAGGGGGAGTGCGATTTGCGACGCGCCAGCGGGTACCGGCGTGATGCCGGTGCTGAGCTCCACACTCTAAATGGTAAGGGACAACTTTGTTCCCAAAGCCGACGTTTGTGCACATTCAGATCGGATGGAATCCTGTTCTTGAACTTGTCCCCAGTTTTTGGAACGAGGTTGCATTCGGTCGGAATGTACCACTAAACTTTCTTTATTTTAGGAACAAAATTGTCCCTTTTCATTTTGGGTGCAGGCTCCATGGAGCGCCTGCAGGGGCTGTTAGGGAGGATCGTGCAGCTCAGCGGGCCGCCGGGTTGCCTACCCCCGAGTCCGCGGGCGCTTGAGGTTGCCGTCGGGCCGCCCGCCAGATGCCGAGCCACGTGCTCCATCACGAAAGCTGGACCTCTAAAGTCGGATAGCGTCTACCGCTGGGAGGTCTAGGAGGCGAAATTGAATGGAGGAAAGAGGGAAAAATTGAAAAGGGTATGTGAGGGAACCTTATCCTCTCTGCCCCCCCCCCCTCTCTCTCTCTCTCTCTCTGCCCCTCTCTCCCACACTCCCTGCCTGCCTCTCTTCCTCCCTCCCTCCCTCTCTCCCCCTCTCCCTCCCTCTCTCCCTCCCTCTCTCCCTCTTTCCCTCTCTCCCTCTCTCCCTCCCCCTCTCTCTCTTGCCTTGCCACACGCCGCCCCTCTGCGAGTCATATGAACCGGATTCGCACGTTCGCATATGGCTCTTCCTGCGATTTATACTGGGCGTATGCAGCTGGCAGCGGGCTGGGCTGTGTATAGACCGGAAGTAGGGACCGGAAGTTTGTCGGCTGTGCGTGTGTGTGTTTGCTCGTGAGTGGGTCCGTTGGGCGAGCAGGGCGCGTGGGGATCAGCTTCTTGGATGCAAGGGGCGAGGCAAGGCATGGCGGGCGGACGCAGGTCCCGAGGGACAAGTGGAGTGGAGACTTTGCGTCCCGATGGGACTTTGAATGGTTATTTTTTGCCATAATTGTTTCTCTCGCGCTTTGTGAACATTATTCGGGCTTAATGGAAACAGCAAGGAAAAACCAACTAATTATCGTCATTTTTATTCCGTAAAAGGTTAAAAGAATTCAACGAAGTACGAAAAACTTACATGTAAATGTTTGGAAGTGAACTGTCTGTTTCGCGCTGCATTAGTCCATGACTGGTCGGCACTTCTAACGGCACCCCGTTCGGCTCTTCCCGCCGCCACGCCCCGCCACGCCCCGCCCCGCCCCGCCACGCAACGCTCCGCCCCGCCACGCCCCGACTGCTCTCTGGACGTACAATGGTCGCTTGTTAGGGGCGCTGATCTGAGGGAATTCCACCGAGGCCTCCTAACACCCCGGGGTCTCTCCCTCTGTCTCTCTCTCTCTCTTTCTCTTTTCCCTTCTCTCGTCCCTCTCTCCATCTCTCGGCCGTAGAAAGAAACCTCTTAGGCCGAGCAGAAAGCCGGCCAAGGCGGACTTTGGCGCGTCCCTTTTCTTATTCGCGTTTCTTTTCAACTGTCGAGATAAATTGCACAACATTCAACTGATTTTCCTCCTTTTTTTGTGCGCGTGCTTGCGCGCGAAGGAGCAGGGCTATACAAGAGAGTATTATCATAAAAGTGGTGAATAAATGTTTTTTTTTGTGTGTGTGTTGCAGAGCGAGCCGGGCCCGTCGGGCTGCCAGCACCAGCCGCAGCCGGGGCCCTCGGGCGTACAGCAGATGAAGCGATCCTCCTCCAGGCCATGCAATGTGCCGGGCTGCACCCAGCAGGGCTGCGGCAGCAGGGCCTCCAGCCAGCCCAGGGCCGAGCACGTAAGTAAAGGAACAGGGTCACACCAGGTGTCTGAATAGGCCCGCGAGGGAGGGTCGTGACAACTAACCCAATATTATGTCAGACAAGTCCCCAAAGACTGTCTCAACCGCAATGTATTTAAATGCCGTGGGTTTTGTGTATCAAATACAATTAGATTTAGTGTTTATTTTGGGACACATAACGTGTGGTGGTTGGTCATTTCTCACATATAAAAATTGACAACTCCAAAGATATACTCAACTGAATAGAACAATTCTTCAAAGTGTGTGAGAGAGAAACAGAGACAGAGAGATATAGGGACAGAGGACTTGGGGGTGGGGAGCGACCTGGCAGGCCGCCAGCAATTGAGAGCGCGTTCAGATGAGATCCGCCCCGGATTAAACATCCGGAGCCGCCAGACGCAGCTAATCAGATTTGCCAAGGAGCCGCGCCGTGGCTCGCTAAGGAGCTTCTGTCACCGGGAAGGTGGGGTGGGGCGAAGGTGGGGGTCAGGGTGAGGCGCCGCGAAACACGACGGTGGGTCAGACGCCCCCTCTCTCCCTTACTCTTCCCTTTCTCCTTGCCCCTCTTTCTCACTCACTCTCCCACGCGGTCCTCTCAGCCCAGAGCATAGCCGCACGGGCGGCATGCGCGCGCGACC